TATATATAATCTATGTATAATTACTAAAACAATTGAGGTTTTGATGAAGTTTCCTAACTAGATAGGAAGGCTCTCTTGAAAAACCTCACCGTGTGTTGCCTTTTGTCTCCTCTTCTTTTAAGAAGTTTCTTTCTTTTCTAGTGATTGCATTTATATATGTTTAATTCTGATTATATTTTCAAGTAAACAACGTTAATTCCCAGGGAATAATGTGCAATTTCTTTTGGTAACAATTATCGCAAAGTCTTAATTTCTATACCTTGTCTCCCTTTCCTTCAAATTCTTCAGAGTGGTCAGCCGCCTTTGTCCACTGTACTAGCTAGAGAGGACCACTTAATGACATCTCATTGATTTAGTGCTCTGCACGAAGGACCATGAGCTCACCCCATTTCAAGCTGTGGTTAGGCTCCTGTTTGAGAAATAAGGATGTTAGGTTAGCAAATAGCAATAGCATGGACGGGGGTGACAGAATGATATGCACTTGTTTGGCATGTGTTCACCTGCCATGTTCAGAGCTCAAATCAAATCGTTAAAAATAAAATTTAAGATGACCAAAAATAATTGTAGTTTATATAATATTTTGTTTCTTTCGCCGAATTTGATGGCTCCAAAATCATTCAGAAAGATTTACAGCGATACACGACACAAACACACACACACACACTACACCTTGGGATACACAAAAACAACTTTTGCAATGCTTCCGGTTGGCCAAATAAACCATACAAATATTCTTCAAGGGACTACTGTCTGCAGATATATGCATGCTTGCTCTTCCTCCATTTCTTTCACTAAAAGACTTATGATCAGCTTCAGCAGCCTTTGAATTAAAACCCCTTGAGTGTTCTTTCGAGTGCAAGCTTCAAATTCGGTACAAATTTTTAATTTTTGTTAATATATGAAAAATGTTTTTACTCACATACATACACGCACACGTTCGTGTAAATACAGTAACCTCGTCTCTCCTTAACGAATAAGTAATTATATTAGGCTTGAGTCTTATTGGATAATCATTTCGTTGCCACTGGTGGTGTAAACATATCTTGTCTTTGCTTGAGCCGAATTTTAGATTCTATTATCCCAAAGAAAAAAGGGACAAAATACCATCCAAATATTTGCATCATATGAGTCTATTGCTTGTGCCAAATTAGCCCTTTGACCAAATAGAAATGGAACAGTGAGAAAGGTATGTAGCCTATAGCTTTCAAAGTGAAGATGAGGAATTGTTACCAGCCAACCAACGTAAGCAGTGATAAAAACCCTAGACGTTACGTCAACAACGCTATTAGTGGGCGTTACGATTGGTGCTGATTTATTTGAACGTCAATCGCTCTCTCATTAGAAAAAGAAAGAGGACAATACCCTAATAATCAACTTAATCGATGCTTAACTGAGCCATTAATGTTTTATAATCTTTTCACTTTCATACTCTACTTGTAACTTGTATCTCTCTCTCTCTCTCTCTCTCAACCAAACTCTTTGCACTTTCTCCCTTTGTTTTTAACAAGCAGAGCCCATATCAAGCAGTAAAAACCTTAGATGTTTGTGTCACGCTGAGGTGATGAAAACCCTAGCATCAACCAATAAAAACAAACTGTGATAATAGAAAACAAACCACCATTGGCAATACTTGATTCCCCTGAAGAAAAAGGTTTTAAGGAAAAAGAGAAAAAGCAAGCTTGAAAAGTGGGGTCCCTTTGTATGGTGCAATCCCCACTTGAGCACGGTACACTTTACTTGATGCCCCCCAGATGGCCAAATCGAGCCATGATACAGTGGGACTGCGAATTCATCAAACGTGCATGGCATGTGTCCATATATATATATATATATATATATATATATATGACATAGCATGACTTCTCTGCGCTTGTACAGAAATTTGTAGTTTGCCCAGAAGAAAAATAAAAAAGAAAAAAGAAAGGCCTGGAGAAAGAGAATGGTTAAGAGGGGTTAATCGGGTGTAAGTGACACCGGGGTTTGTCTGTTGGGATATGAGCTAATAGTACAGAATCTGTAATGTCAAATCATGTAATTGGTATTTTGGAGTATATGTTGGTTTTTCTTTCTTTTATATAATACTACAATTATTACTTTATGAGCTCTTTTTATGTAAAAAAAAAGTCTGGATTGGACTGTCATGTCACATATAATGAGAGCTAATATATAGGCCAGCTATGATCTGTTTCTCTCTCTCTCTGGGGGTTGGATTAGAAACAGGAAAGAGCTGCCTTCTCTGCAGAAACAACAGAAGGAGGCAGCGCAGCAACAGCAGAGAGAGAGAGGTGGTCAGTCAATAGTGACATAGCCTTTTCTCGTTGCCAACATCAATGCTGGGAGAACCTTTAGATTTCCCACTTCATGCGCTCTTGATTTCTGATATGATAAACCCTCCCCCCCAACCCCCTGCCTTTTTAACCCCACACTTTACTCTCCCTGCGGTCCCTCTCTGTCTTCCTCGCACTATCACCATTCCCCCTTCACCATGCAGCTCATTCCCTCTCTGGTCCGACTCTTTCTTTTTCTCTCTGGTCAATATCTCGATAATTATTACCTATTCTTTCTAATTTCTTAATTAAAAAAAATGGGCTATAGTAATTGGTACCACCATTTTAACGGGCACCTATTGTTTGCTCCTTGGACACAGCCCATTCATGGGAAAAAATTTCATACCATTTCACTTACATCATTTTTTTACTTTCTTTTCAAAATAACACTATTCAGCTAAAACTAATAATGAATTAAAAGTATTTTATATTCAATCTTTAGAAAAATGATTCACTTTATGAGATAGAACAAAATTATTTTTTATTGTATAACTCAAAATTATATATGCTTAAAAAGATATGCAAACTTATTATCAATATTTTACTTATATAAATTATTGCCTTTTCTTGTTAATAAAATGATCATAAATTAGGAAAGTATCTTCTTCGACAATTGGAAACATTAATTTAAGCTTAAGATTTTATCTTTAAAACGCTATAAATAATAAAACTATGATTCTCTGAGTTCAATGCATCCGTAAGCTATACAATTCAAGCAAGAGTAGGCACTCTCCTATTTGATCTTTATCGATCCTAGAAGGATATGAGATTATATTCCATTTTCAAGTTTTAATTTGATATAATATCTATAATTAAGATTTTATTTGATTAATTTATTAGCATCTTTAAATGATTTTTCTTTTGTATTATGAACTATTTACTTACACAATGAAGAATAATAATATTCGTCTCGTAAATCTCAATCAACGTGTCTTAGAATTCAAATCCAAGACCTCCTAAATAAATGCTAAGTTCTAATCCTTGGGTGCCATTAATTAAAATATTTTCAAAATTAACTGGAAAAATGAAAGAAAAATACGTATATACATTCGATCGATAGTTGTCTACACATGAAGCTTCCATCTTGAAGTGTCGGATTGAATCTGATTTGTTTTTTGAGGTTTTTACTTATCTGGTGAACACTGCTTTGGACCACTTGGAAGCTCCAATGTGTTGTACTTGTTTGACAGATATGCATGTCTGTTAGAACAAATATCTTGGTATTACAATATAGCTGGAATGATTGGGATAGCTTATCAACCTAGGTTTTTTAATATTGATAATGACTAATTAACATATGAATTACAGTTCATGAATAAATCAATTATACTAAACAATATAAGAATATATAAGATCAAATAGAAAGAGTAATAGGGCCTGCTCTAATTAAACAACTTAATTACTCTCTTTTTTTCCTTTACAAAAAAAAACCCTTTGCATAAAATGCTTCATTGTAATCATCACTAGCTAGCTTTGTATTACTTGGTTTTACTTGTGGAATTTGAGAAACACAGACATACAATCTCGTTGGACAGCACTTGTCACAGGGGACCTTCTAAAGAGGTGTATATGATCTTTTTGCCTAATTAAGAAAGCAAAGGGAAAAGAGAAAAAAAAAAACATAGTTTAAATCATAAATCCCTTCACTGTTACCATTGTGGCTTATAAGTTCTGGTTTGCTGTTAAGGTTGATGTTTATCATGTCGGCATAGAAGGAAAGGAAACTTGATTTTGTATAGGGTTTTAGGGTTTGGAGGCGTTGCTTTGGTTTTGTACGCAACGCTCACAATAATTGTACAAAGACTTACGTTTTACCGGATTAATTAATGTCATCAGAAATCTTTTGTAACTTTCGTAAAAAGATTTTAAGCGACACGATGATTATGATTTTTAATAAAATATCTCAAGCCTTTTTTAAGAAAAGAAATCCTAAATACCCACTTCTCCAAAAGGAAAAATATGTTTGTCATTAATATTTCTTCAATGTCGTAAATTTGATTATGTAACCCGCATTAATCGACCCTTTAAAAAAATGTATTAATCCAAAGTTTGATTGAATATAAAAATCAATCTTGCAAACAAGTCTCCAAACAAACAAGTCGGGATGGGTTAGGTTTTGTTTTGTCTCAATTTTGAGGCTAATAAGACCCCTGAAATTGGGCTTTGTGACATGCATGTGTGTATGTATGTATGATTGTCTTTTACTGATATATCAGGTTTGAGATGAAAGCAAGAGTGAGATATTTAATCAAATTTAAACTCAAGCTAGTGTTGTTTAAGCCATAATACTCATAAGTGGGCACGAAAGAGATGCTAAATCCAACAACTTCCATTTTACCATTAAGAGAAAATCTCATATTCTCATCGGTAATCTTTCAAAAAAAAAAAATTCTCATCGGTAACATTTAAAATATAAATAATATTGATAATATGTATATATATATATATATATATATATATATATATTTCTAAATATGTGACATATTTTTGGCTGAGACAGACTCGATAATACTCTATTGGGGCATGAAAGAGATGTCACAATGGTGTAGTCTTTATAATGCTTTCTTCAATTATATCAATTGAAAATTGCTTTTCCAGTTCAAGATGGAAGAAAATAAAAGAAAAAGAAAAGAGAAATTATTTCGTATGGTGGCTGCTTGTTCATCTTATTATTGCGAAAGCGATGCCAAAATCCAAAACCAAATGTCACCAACTTAATTAAATGATGAGTCCTTGGATTTTGTTTCGATCTGATCTAAGTTTCCCACATGACAATGTTAAAATTGGACCACTCCAAGCTACCTGCTATTTATGTAACATAGATAGACTCGTCACGATATGAAAACAACAACTCTAACTCATAATAATTAAGGGTACCATTCATTTTCTTTATATCATACATCCATTGCTTTTTAAAATTATTTTGAATAGCAATAACTAAGTTTTTGGGATTTAAAAATAATAACTCATTTAATTCTTAGAATTAAAAAGGATTAGGTCATCAACTAAGTAAGAAGCTAATAAACATTATTTCTTCCAAAGAATGTCTAATAATATATAGTGGTGCAAGTGGAGACTATTCTTTTACAATTCTATTTATTTTTCTTTTTCTGCATAAAAGAAAAGAGATTTAAAAATTATTGTGGTCCTAAGGCTAGTCCGGGGTCAGTGTCCAAAACAATAAATAATGCTTCGGTGTACAATCGCACTTGTATAAATTGTCTACCACATATTCTGCCCTTAATTTGTAGCCTTCACTTTCATTTCTTTTCACCACCTTGCTTCTCACGCAAAGCCCTCCAATACATACATACATACATACATACATACATACGCACATACATCTTACATAATGAAAGCTTAGTTGATTTATTCCGAGATAAGGCTTCCAAGAAATTCTTGTTACTTGATAGCTTATCAAGATAGTCATAACATTGATTCATCATCGTAAATCATTCTATTTTACGATCACGTTATGTTAAAAAAACAATTTGATTTAAAAATTTGAATTTAAATATAAAATTTAATTAGTATATGATATCCTGATTCATATCAAAATTACAGACTACTATTATATATTTTATATTGAAATTTAATAATATCAATTGATATTTGATTTTTTTTTTCTGTTAAAGAAGATAGATATCATCTATCTATTCTGACTAGATAGAGTGAAGAGTTGTCTATCATTTTGGAAGCAAACAATTTTTCACAGAATAAGTTGAAGGACTTTTTTGGTCCTCATATAATTATATGAAATTGACTGATGATTTGGATTTGCCTATATATGATAATTAATGGAAATGAGAAGCAATGCTTGTATTTCTTTTCTTCTGGAGTCCCCTGAATCAATCATTCTTAGTAATGTGATGCCTATACTATCAGATCATCATTGTTCCATGCATACAAATTTACCAACCTTAGCATATCCATGAAAAGTGTTTGCATAGTGATTTCCTAACAAACTGAAATTGAGTTATCAAGAGGAGCAAATCAATCAAAGCAAAAGAAAGAATTGCCTGCCTTTCTGATTTCTTGAGTTTCAGGAAAATGCTTGTCAGTTTGAGACCATGATATCTTTGGCTTTCTTCCAGAACTTAAAAGAAAATACAGCACACAGAAATCTGAGCCATTCCCTAGCAATTGAAACTTGTATTTACTACAATGACAGTTCACTTGATTCAATCAATGAGTATCCAATGTCCAAAGGGGTTAAAGAAAAGAAAACAAGAATTAGTAGCTAGCTAGTTTGACATTAAAGAATCAATTCTCAGTGAAACCAGTCCAAGCACATGCAATTCTTTTATCCATGGTGTCACGTAACATGGGTTTTTGGCGGGATTCCAAAACATGTAACATGGGTTTGCAAAGTGAGCACAATTCTCAACACTGGGAAAACCCAAGCATTCCTCAACAGGACAACCTTCACATGATTAAGTAGTACATTTTTCTTTAAATTGAATTTAACCTTCTTTTCCACGTTTCAAATGTCTCATATTGAAGTTGTTTCTCTTTTGGATCCTCACATACAAGATCATACCGCAAACTTTCAAGTCCAATCTTTTGTTTTTTTTGTCTAATTTTGTTTTCTCTTTAACGCTAATAAATAAACTGACAGTACCAAATGCAATAATTATAAGCATGTAGAGATTAAAGGTTGGAATTTTTCAATGAAAAACTCAATTGTGCTCGAGAAATGAGAACCACAGGCAACTGACCAGAATGTGATCCAAGGGAAAGTGGTCCTGGAGTTAACTGGGCTCAGGGTACAATGGTACTACAATTATCAAGAGAGTCAAGTCACATCTTACACAAAAAGGGTAAAAGGAGAAAAGTGGTCCACCATTACTAATGAAACTCAAGTGAGAACATAGACACCTCCCATCTTACCCTCATACATATATATATATAAATCTCCCGTCATTTAACCTTTTTTTAACCTGAGAATTTACTTGATTCTCTTCAAATGACATCAAATCTCCAGTCATCCCCTAAGTAAATCCTGAATTTAAGTATGAATGCAGACATGCAGCAGTAACTTGGGTTCTACACTCACATTCTTTAAGAGAAAGTAATGGCAACAATTTATGAAACATTGCATAGATAATGGCATGTTGAAAATGGTAACTCGTGAATTAGCTATCAATGAATTAATTCAGTGTTCAATCATCAGTTGTACAATAACATTAAACAAAAATTACACCTTTACAGGGGTTAAAAGCAACAACCTTTAGTAAAAATTTTCAATATGTCAAAAAAGAAAAAGCTAGACACTTCCTTTCACAAATGGATATAAGTATATATAAAAAAAAATCCCCTTCAGTCTCTCTCACCTCTTGAATTGTTACTATGTTACAGCCATCACTGGCATCTACTCTAAGTTTTAATCTCCCTTCCTCTGTAATGCTAGACACTATCGACTTAGACTAAACAATGCCAAAGATGAAAGAATGCTACTCTTCTGAGATTGGTAATTGTAAGGCAGCAAAATTTGTGATATATTCACCAACAAATAATACCTAGCTTAGAATGGTTTTGGCAAGTGATGACCCAGATGTTTTTATTCTACAACTCTTCTGTAGAAGAGAAGATAAGCAGCAGATGTCTTTATCTTCTCCACGCCGATGGGATAAACATGGCTATCATCGAACTCGTACCACCGACCACCACCATGCTACATCAGAGAAACAAAAATTAGAGTATTCCAGCAGTACCAACACACAATCAAGTACACATGCAATTATTTTTCACAAAATCTTGGAATTAAAAGGGGGAAAATTTTATATTTAATGCTAAACAAAATAATCAGTTGCCTTCCAAAAAAAAAACAATAATCAGTATCCCTTGTAATCTATTGGCACTTATACATGTATATCCTCTTCTGAAATGAGCCTGCATTATGAGACCCAATCCAAAAAGGATTTTGGAGACCCCTTTTGAGGGGTCGGGAGAGGGTTTGGTACTTGAGAAGTGTGGAAAAGAGCATTTTGAAGTTGAAAGTAGCTGACTACTTCAGAAGGATTTGCAACAAAGTCCTCCAACATGTGCAGAACACAGAGGTAAATAACAAGGTTTAAATTAGCTAGCTCAAATGCTAAAATTTGTTTAATCATCCAACTAGAAACTTGCATACTCTCAGGTCATACAGTCACTACTGAGAAGGTTCTATGCCTGTGGTCTAGATACTGATCCTTGCATTCTTTCAAAAGGTTCATGTACCCTGTCCAATGTTCCAACAATGGGACTGATCACCACGGATGTCAATTCACTGAGACAGGTTTGATGTTTACAGCAACATATGGATGTATGAGTTTGTTTGTGTGTGTTGTTCTTTCCACTTGAGCAAACCTACAGCATAAAATACCACATGCACCACATGCTACATAGACGTAAAGGTAATATGCTATCCTTTTACTCTTGTTAGCTCAATCATGATAAATATGAAATAAGATTTTCTTTAATAAAAAATCACTAAAAGGCTCCCCATATGATATATTTTATGGAAAATATAAATAAGATTTTTAGGTCTTCACTTACATGGACAAATGCAATATAATGACCACCTCCCATGCTTCCATAGTGATTGCTGACAGCATAAAGCATGTAACGATTAGATAACTCGCCATTCCTATAAGCAATATAATTTGACAAATCAAGATCATCAATGGGGAAGTCAACAAATGTCTCCAGCTTGTTTTTCAAGTATCGACTATATGAGAATCTTTTTAAATGAATAACCAGAATCTCTGGCAGTCTCCAAAGATCCAACTTTTTACTGGCTTGACGGTGCTCTTTGCAGCCTGGACAGTACCTAAAATTACATAGATTAAGACCAGGCATTAGAAAGACAATGTCAAGAAGCAACATATCCACAAGAAAAGTTGATGGTTGATGAGGAGGGCTATTGATGGAGATTATTAGCCAATTTTTCTTATATACATGCATACATTCATATATAAAATAGGCCAATATTACAAGTACTCATATAAACAACTTATTAGAGGATGTATGGAGGGATTTTAATGGCAATTCCGTAAAGAAATACAGGGACTTAGAGCCAAAGCATCAGAAGTTAGCAGGCCTGAGAAATGTCAAATTGGCTTTAAAAAACATAAGAACATAGAGTATGAGCAGATATTATTCAATCTAAAATCGAAAGAAGCTCTTAATGAATAGTAAATTAATGGATAAGCTATTAGTTAATAAAAAGGGCAATGCAGCTTCCAATAGTAAAGACCTGCATGCAAGGTTTTCTATCAGAAGGCAAAGCAGAAACAAGTAAACATTGCAAAGGTTAAAAATAATCAGCAAAACAGAATTCAACTTACTGGCTGATAGACATTAATCCTCCCAAATGAGTAACACAAAAATTCTAGCTATTTAAGATGCAAATATTTCCTATGCAAAGTTAAAAGGGCAAAAATGTAGACACTGACCACATGTCTTCTGGTCCAAGGGGCTCCTCCATCAAGAATGCTTGAAGACACTTATACAAAGAAACAGATTCCTGAGGTCTCTTTGTGAAAAAGCAAGACTTAAAAATCTGCGGTAAAGAGCTAAGCAGCCGTGTATCATACTCTTTAACATATTTTTCTGGCCAGGAAGCTAGCACATGTAACCTCCCGGACACTCCTGCAGCAGGTACTGTTTCACCCATAATTATCTGGGATTCCTTGACTATTCCTTTTTCATCTGTTAAGTAAAACTGTAATTCACACTCCGAGGGTGAGACAACCCCATTTGCATCAGGGTGCTTTTCAAACCCATTTGAAACAGGAGATGATCCATGCTCTTTCTGAGAAATGTCTTCAACTGCAGTGCTCTCAGAGGTATCACAATTATCTAAGACTTCTTCAGCCTGTATCTGAAATGGATTTAGTAATTTCAGATACAGACCATGGATGTCAGATCCATTGACAACATTAGAAAGCCTTGCCACAAGAGGAATTCCAAATGTCTTCCAACTTGAGGTCAGTTTCCCATGGATGTACTGCCTGAAAGTATAAAATATCATAAAGTTTAGGTTATAAGAGATACCAACCAAAACTAACTGATATTCTCAAAACAAACTCAAAGTATTCATTGTGCAGATGTAGGTGGTAGACTTTTTTAAGTCAAAAGAAAACAAGCAGTAGGATTTTAAGTAAATTTATCTTGCCAATCATAGTGGATCATCAACAAGTAGAGAAAAAAAAAGTAACAAGAAGTAGAAATAGGAAAAAAGGTACAACCCACATGAGTGTTTTATGTCTTTTGGAGGTAACAGACCAAACAACTAGATTGCCTTTAACACTCAACATATTAAATTTTTTTAATAATCAAGTGAATCTACCATCTCTTTTTCCCAACTGATGTTGAGAGGTAAACTAGAATTGACAAAAAAAACCTATCATCATTTCCTAATATTAAGATCAAGTATGAATGGTGTTCAACCTTAGTTGTGATACCTATAGGACCCATAAAGCCATCCCAAAAAGTGTTCCCTTATGAAGCAAGCAGCAAGGTTTAGCTTACATGGAAAAAATCATATTCTATCAAATCTACAACAAAAGATTGGTAAATGACTTTGCAAAGCTGTCAAACTTGATAACACAATAAGGAGATGCGACAAAATCCCAAATGATCAAGCAAAGGTGCAATTATGGGATAACTTGACAGGCATCTATTTTGCCTCAAACATCTGCCTACATAAATATAAAAAATGTATCAGTCACAGCAAAATTTGGTAGTCACATGTAATCCAAATTACTTAATTTTCAATTTAAACAAACTCAGAACATATTTTTTAACAAGAAGTACAACAGGACATACACCATGCACGCACCTAAGCATTTGACTCATTGGTGGGTATATAATCTCCCTGCTTAAAGAGCAGGGTTCAGATCCCCCTTCCCCTAAGTCCCAAAAAAAAAAAAGACATACACCATGCACACATGAAAATAAAATGTAAATCATGAAGAAGAAAGTGGGAGGGATGCTGAGAGCTGAAAACATTGTCAAGCTAGGAATTAAACAAACTTACTCCTCCATCTGCTGATGCATAAATACAACTGAAGGAGCTTTGACCATATCTTTGTTTAACCGATAAGCAACCAGTCTGTCATCATCTCGAATCAACGATAAAGAATCAGCAGGCTCTTCGAGAAAACGTATAATCCGGTTGTTATATATCTGCACATAAATTAATAGTTACAGGCTTAGATAAATATGTATAAGCATAACAACAACATTACAATCAAAATAGATTCAGATGTTGTAAACAATGCAATAAACCTCTGACACCAGAAGGGTCTCATTGGCACCCAAAGAACATGCAACACTTAGAGCGTGGATAAGGTCTTCAAATCTCCCACTCTTTGGGACAGTAATCGTAAATGGAGATGGTTGAGCAGTTCCATCAGTACTGATGACAGTTACAGTCATTGTTCGCAATGTTGTTGATGGTAGAGGTAGTGACAGGTACATGAATGGATCAAATGTTATAGAGACCTTTTTGCATTCTGGACAAACTAATGTTGATTTAAATTGACCCTGCAATGAAATATAATCATGACAAGAATTATGTGGAATAATGAACTATTCAACAAATACAAGCAAAAACCACCTACTTTTATACTGAAACATAAAGTGTTATTTAAAATAGTATACACATTAAATCCAGCTTGCCTGAGGTATTTCACAACATTCTGGATTCTGGAATCAGTCTTATTTTTTATTCCATAAACTAAACTAAATCAACCATGCAATAATAGAACAATCGATTCAGCTCCAAGCCAAAATTATATCATTCTACAAGAACAACATAAAAACAAATGTACATACTTAATTTTCCAAGATGTATGCTATCATGATCTCCCTATTAAACCCCCCCCCTCTTTCCTCTAATAAGAGAAGAAATTTGATGCTATCTACTACTTGTAGATATCAAGTTGTTTTATGCCATTTCCAACTTATAATCTTGCAATTTTTTTTTTCTCAGAATCAACACCTTTAGGAGTTCAAGAGAATGAAAGTTAAATAACTAACTAGTCAAATAAAATTTTCACCATGAGTACTCAGAACCAAAAAGAACAAGAGGAAAAATAGGAATTACCTGGCACACATCAACAATGATAGAATCATTACGAGCCAGGTGGTTTTGCCAATATTCATCAGCTACTTCTTCATCTTGTCGACCCTCACCATCCTTCACTTCAACATAAGGCTTGCTTTTCACACGATTTAGATCCTCATGAAGTCCATCCAACAAAAAAGCAAGAAGCTCCTAAGATAAAACACACATGAAATTAATAAACAAAAACATGGAATATGTATCACATTAAAATCACCCACCTGAGGAAAAAAAATCAACTATTGAGAGAAAGAGAAAGTTCACTGACTTGAGAATCATGCTGATTGAAGCCACTAAACTGCGGAGCAAAACGTGCAAGCTTTGCCTTAAATGTTCTTGGTGCCACAGGAGTTGCTCCAGGGGCCCATAACTTCCTCAATAGATCCCCGAAAGCTGAAGCAATCTCACCCTGAAAAAAGTGCATACTTTAAAGGATGCATACAACTAAGAACAGTTCGGACTTCTCACTATACTAGAAAATTTACTAAATATAATGAAACATGAAAGCAGAGGGATTAAAAGAAATAGAATATACATTCATGCCCAAAGGATTGTCATGATTTATTTCTCTACAATAATCTCCAAGAAAATAGTCAATCATCTTTGGTGTATGAGCCAAGCACTGAATGGCACTGTTCATGAAACAAGTGTTTCCAAGATTTTGTAATCCAGTCAATCCCAAAGAACCAGCTTCTCCAGATCTTCCACAGAATGTCGAAGCATTAGTACCAAATGAAGTGGAATTTGCAGTGCCAGTGCAACCGTTTATCATGACTGAAGCACCAGAAGAGCCATTTGCAGGATGCTGTCCTGAGATTTCATCTTTTTTCCCTTCTCTACATTTCATGGAATCTGACAACCCATAGACTTGCAACTCCAGGAGAATCTACAGATAAACAGAAGTAACAAAACATTACTGGCATGCATCAAAATTACAACTAATGATTTTTAAGACAAGTGATTTATATGATATTCCAATTAAGACCAACAAGAAAGCAGCTAGAGAGCAGTATATTAACATGAAGGGGAAAAATCATTTGCCCCTTGCTTTGAGATCGATTCACACTTTTGCCATTCAGTGGTCCAAAATCACAGTTGACATCATCTTAACATTCATTCTCTTATCCTACCAAATACACAAATGCTTTCATGGGATGAAAAAATGACTCACAGTAAAAGGACTTCAGGTATATAAAAATTCCCCTTATGAGGTTACATATATTGATTTAGAATGCCACAGAAATCTACCTTTTTGGGGCTCAAAATTTAATGTGAAATAATTTCTAGAAATTTTAGCATAATTAAGTAATCAAATAAATAATCATGTCAATCAAAGAAAAAATAATAGTATATGGTAGGAATAATTGATATACAACAAGTGGCCCAAATTGTACCATTAAGAAAAAATTGATCAAATGGGAAAAGGAAACAGAACATTGGGAAGCTAGAATATCTCTTATAAGCATAAAGAAACATTAAACTCTCCTAAAGGAAAGTCATATGTCAAGATCTTGTCTCAAAATTAAAAATAATCTCATGTAGTTCTAATCTTCTGAATAAAGGATTCTTACAATATTCCTTTTAGAATATGCCCCATATGATGGAAACCAGGCGGTTTAGCTGAACATTGGAGGGTAAATCATATGATGGAAGGCAATATTTGTGAATTGGTTCTATTAGTACTAATCAGTAGAAATTATATGGGAAGTATATTTCCTAAAAATATTATACTGAAGAGTAATTATAGGTAAAACATGAGGATGGAAGTGTTTTTAGTCAAAGATTCTAAATACTTGAATGGTTATTTTAGGCAAGTACAGGCAATTTCTAAAAAGTTGAACTTCTTATATAGAAGCAAGACATGCACACAAGCACAATAGTAAAGGAAGTGGTTTGTAATTACAAACCTACGTGTGAGGAAGATTGCACAGCATCCAACAAATAAATCAATAAAAAAAATATCTCATTTTAAAAAATAAATAAAATCCACCTCTTACCTCCTGATCTGACTGGCGTTGACAATCTTTGAGAAATCTATTTCTGTCATTCACAAAATACAGAGTTGTCTGCCCAGAAAAGTCCCAAATGCGTAACTGTGCAATCAAGAAACTTAGATGGCCATCCATTGCAACAGAAAAAAAAAAAATCCTCCCTAATGATTTGACAAATTACCTGCTCAGAATCTACGCTAAAGATTTTGCAGGCTCTTCTAAAAAGTTCCACTGCATTGTCCTGTAAAGAGTGACACGTAATGTAAGAACATAAGCAAGGGGATCCAATAATATGGAGGAGGCTTAATGATTCAGAAATGTACAAGCTTGAGAAATCAAACTGAATACAAAATTAATGAGAAATGAATCTTGTGATTACAACAGAGAAAACTACAAACTAAGCATGATTATAGTATTGCATTAATGGTAAGAACATCTGAAATCCCAAGATGCAAGCAAAATCTTATGAATCAATAAATTATATGCATACAGAGTTGATTCATCTGTCAATCATGAAGTTTCATACTGTGTCATTTCAAAATACGACACATGCACTCAAATCAGGAATCACTTAGTCCAGTTAATTAAAAGATTATTAAAATAGGACTGGTTCAATGGAACTAATTATTTTGAAACTATACCTTTATAACAAACATGAAACAAATATGCCAAGCCCCTTTCCAGAGTGAAAATTGAACATACACCTTTTGTTTATGCCATGATGCTCTATTTCCCTTTTAAAATTAACAGATTGATCATTTGCAAATTTAATATAAATATTAAAAACATGTCAGAATGTGAGAGTGTCTAGGCTCTATACAGTATAAAAACTATCACTAGCCTAGTGTGATACATCTTCACAGACCAAAAGTAGAATAATTGGCTACTTAAATGAACTTACCTTTTTACTAATTTTGACTCCCAACGAATTTGTTTCCCGTGGAACAGAAAGCCTTAGCTGCAAGGGATAGACATCTGCCATGTCATCTTCAGCAGCTGAAAAGCTTTTGCCACCTTTTGCTGCAACTTTTGCATCACTATGCCTGCATGGAACAGCACAAAGTAGAAGATGTGAGATACTAAGAAGCTCTTCTTAGTTTCTAAGACCACATAGAATTGATTTATCAAACACTAGAACAGATTTCCAGGAATCACATTTTAGTAAATCAAACAAACTTTGGTTTTCATTCTAAAATTCATACAATTAAGTGGCAACTACCAGATGTATAAAAAGCAAGTGAATATCAAAGAAGAAGCCATGCAAATATCCCTGAACCCAAAGGAACCAAAAAAGAAAAATAAAAAAAACAGAAGGAAATGATGCATAAAAGCTGATTACAAATTGTCAATATCTTCTGATCACTAAGTAAAGATTTTCAGAATGAAATTGACTTCACATTTAATGTGGATAGATTAATCAGATCACTCTTTCTAAAGGAGCTCTTGCTCTTCTAATACTGACAAGTATAATTTGATCTAGATCATGTAGTAACCTTAGAATCTAAAAGATTGAGAATGTGTGCTAAAAGTTTCCAGCAGAAAATAATTGCAGTCTTGTCATAAAAATTTCAGTATATCGGTAGGCCCCCTAATTCAGTTGGATTATAGATGATATAAAATTTCCTAAAGCAGATCTTAAGCTAAATTCATTTTAAAAGGTCATGGCACCACATAGTTCACACAAAGAAGGAACTGTAGTGAAATATGTCAGGGTGTTCTGCAAGAATTTCAAAGCAGGATAATCTCACATGTCAAGAATTGTTGGCCTAGTTTTACATTAACTTAATCTGCTGTTGTTTGAAGGAGCAATGGAGGCGTCACAACCATATCAGATAGGAACCAGATAGTTCAAATAACATAGAAAATATAATTACACAGATATTAAGATATTTCAAAAGGTAAAGACTTGGACCAAAACCTTTAGTATAGTAAAACCATATCATTTTCCCCCCCATGACTTCTCTAATCCAAACAATCGGAGAAAACTCAAACTTTACTTTAATTCACTCGTCTCATGCAAATTCCATTCTTTCCTCTTCTCTCCTATCAATCCAATTAATATCCATTGCCTGAAGACTCAATCACAATTCAACCCCATTGGGAAATCAAAAAGAATTCAACCAACAGTGGATAGTAGAACTGCCTATTTAAACTATTTAACATCAAAAGGCAAACAGTGTCTGATCAGAGTATGCTAAAAACCAATCTTCAAAACACTACCATTTAAGAGCCTGCAACCACATTTCTCCAGGAACCAAAGCATAGTCCCGTCCCGAAACACCAACCTCACCATTTTCACCATTGTGCAAAGAATCCTCCTCCTTCCTTAGATTGAAAGCAAGATCCGAGTTGAATATGTTGTTGATTAACTTCATGGGACCCGCATACGACGTGCCTGGTGTTGCTGTATACAAAATCCCCCTCTTCACGTCAGATTCACCTGAAGTTGAACACTGTGCATCCTTCCACCACCTTAAAAGAAAACCAAAACGATAAAAATAAACTCTTCACCAATGTGGACATCATCAAATCACAAGAAATCAAAATTTTAGACAACAAAACACTAAAACATTTAGAAATTCGATTTCTTACTTCAAAACCCAGTTTTTAAAAAATCCAAACAATGCTACAAATTTTAACCAAAACCCAATTGAACCAAAGCTAAATAAGCATTGAAAAAAATGTTCGTTTCGGTTACTAAGAAAGTTACCCTTAAAAGAATAGCTTAAAAAATGAATATTTATTAAGATTCCAAATCACATTACGGATAGTGACTGCTCCATTCAACTCCAAACTTTTTTTTTAAAAAAAAAAGTGATTTGATAAATTTTAAAAGTTGGGTTTTTCAAGATTTGGCAAAATGTTGAATTAGAAAAGGGCAAAAAAACAAAGAACTTGGCAAAGGGAATTGACCTGAAGGGAACAAAGTAAACTCGCTGGTCGTTGTTGCGGTTGTCGTTGATGACGCTGTCTGAGTCGACTCCGCGAGTTGAATCGGAGGAATCCTCGGAAGGGAGACCCACCATTCTCGGAAGAGAAAAAACAGAGAGAGAGAGAGAGAGAAAGAGAGGGAGAAGAAAGAAAGTGAAAAAGAGAGCTTAAAAATGAAGAGAGAAAATGGCGCTCATCATTCTTGCTTTTCTCTAAAAATTTGAGAGAAGAGAGAGAGAAAAGAACGCCGGATTTGCAATAGAGAAACAAACAACTGGAGCTTTTTGTTTTCTTTTTCTCTTTTCCTTTTTTCTGGTGAAGATGATTCAAGGAGGGAAAATTAATGCAACAAAATATATTATTATATATTATTATAGGAAAATAAACAAAACAAGAGACAAATGTTGTGGGAAGAAAAGCAACGCCGGAAATAGAAAAGGTAACATGTCTTTTTATTATTATTATTTTTTAGGTATGAAAAAGGTCACAATATTTTTTTTTAATTTTTAATTTTTAACCATTAAAAGGTTTGTTTTTCATAAGAGAAATAGTTGCAACTTGCAACTTAAGCTTCATATTATTATAAAAAATTTACATTATCTTTACCGCTTAAACCAAAAAACAATTTTAAATGATTCTTACGAATATATTTTTAGTATAAAATTAAAGATAAATTAGTATAATTGAGTTCTCATTTTCTACTATAAATTTATGAAGAAAACAAAAAGATCTATTGTTTTATTTTTTTTTATAATAATATGTTGTTGATACTATGTGGTTTAGATTAATATTTTTCTATGTATCTTTTATGCTTGGTTTCATCCTCTTCTGGACTGCAAGTACCCATGTGCGGAAACCAAGGCATAAATCTCAACCCAAAAAAAAGGGTTTTTCTTTATTTTCCCATGGACTTTCCTTTTTGTGGTGAGATAGCTCTATGCACTAATTTGATTCACCTTAAAGATGTGGATATGCCACTTTCTTTTTTTGAAACAAAATATGAATAATGTTAAAAGGAACTTTGTATGAATTTTTATGTCAAATGATTGATTATTTGGATTAAGTAGATCAAAGGAAAATTAGTGGTTGACTTTTTCAACTAATTTCCCATTTTAATTCATTTTGGGTACAAGTAAAATATATGAAGATCAATATTTATGAGAACAAGAGACTGAAAAACAAATCTTCAATTTTAGTTTCTTTTCCTCCAAATGCTTTTAACTTGAAATATCACTTTGACTAAAAAAAAAAGTGCAAAATAATGAAAAAAAAAACCTTAAAATAACATCCATTCAATTACTTTTCTATGATCATGCTTCTTACTTCAATCTCTCTCTTTTTCTTTTTATTTTTCTTTTTGTTTTAAATGAATATAATAAATTTACTTGCAACAAAAATTGATGTAGTATTCCTAGGGCAGTAAAATTAGCAGCTTGAGGACTGAGCTTGATAAGGTGTTTTGTTTGCACAAATTTGGGGTATGATGTGAAAACCCCACCACCACTTCAATTACAAAGTATATGTTTGTACCTTTGTTTCCCCTTTTTGTTAATGCACCCTACTTTGGTAAAAACATTTGTGTAATCCAGTCCATGTCATGATGCTCTTCCCTTTCCTACATGTTGAATGTTTTGTAATCCCAAATTGCTTAACAGTTGGGATTTACATAATTATGCTTTTGGTTTAAAAGTTTTCAAATTGAAAGAGGAGCATGACTTGCAGTGGTTTGGTTTCTATGTTTTTACCCTTAGGTGTTAAGTTATGATTATCAATGATATGGTTTTCATCTTGAGGTGTTTAATGGAATAATTACATTTCCAAGTATACAATAATTCAGAAAACAGACAAAAACAATGGAAAAAGAAATAAGGAAAACAATGTGAGATGGAAGTGGAAGCCAAGCAAAGCGAGTGAGGAATGGCACATGGCACGTGCATCTGGAGGCATGAATCAATTATATAATCAAACTTAAGATTCAACATGAAAATTGTCTTGGCTTGATCTCTAATTTTTTGACTAACTATAGTAAACCTCGATTTTCCAAACCAAAAAGGAGGAGGAGGCCACATGTAAGCGCCAAGGTGGAGTGAGGCCAGCTTTGGTTACAGAGAAAACAAGACATGGCGAAATTTGAGGAAAAACAGAACATAAGGAAAGAGCAAATACATTTGCATTCCATTTAAAAGTGAATAAAAATGTTTTGGCATTGTGTCTAGGATCAAATACAGCTATTACAAATACAATCTTGGTCACAAAACCAAAACAGGGTTAGATCTCTCTCTCTCTCTCTCTCTCTCAAGTCACTCCTACAATATCGCTGACGAAGGGATTAGGCAACTAATTGCCAAATTGTCAGTTTTTTATTAATATGTACGCTACCGTTTAAGAATGAGAGCATAGGGACCCATAATTCTCAAACCTTTCAAAACTACAATATTAATGAAATTAAATGACAGATACGAGCTATGAAAAATAAAGACTTTTCCAGATATGGATCTTAACAAGCAAGAATCAACAAGAGGATGCAGCAAATAAAACATAAACTACAAAATAGCATGCCAAGCATTTGTGGGCTAACTATCAGAACTGTACCTGGAGGATGTAGCTAAGGAAAGTTAATCTAAGCAAAATTTAGTAATAACGTGAACCGGTATCATACACACGGCCCCCAGGGTATGAACCTCTTGGTTCAAAACCATGATCTCTGGCACCCCCAAGAAATCGAGCCCTTTCTCTGTAGGAGTCAAAATGATCAGAGTTATAGCCTCGACGTGCATCTCCAGCAGCTGCTGAACCTGCAACGCCAGTGTATGGATGAGGATTACTGATTGGCATGGCATCAGCTGGACCCATGCTGCTACGAGGATAATGGTCAATCACTGCCTGCTGATATTGTTGTTGGCGTGCAAGAGATTCCTTCCTCAGGAACTCATCTCTGCGACTAGCGTGCCGTGTTCGAAGTGCTGCTAACTGTTCCTGATACTGAGTATTGATTGTATTTATTTTCTGAAATTTAAAACAACAATATTACCACTATCCAAGTCTATAACAAGGTTGTCCAAGGGATATCAAGGAAGAGCAAAGAAGGGCATGAGAACAAAATGCAGATGCCAGTTTGCTTCATTAAATACTTATGCTTCTGTGAGAAGGCATATTTACTTTAGATAAGTTGCCTTGCCAGCTTAGATTAAGAGCAAATCCATGAAGCAAGAGCATGGTTGCAGAAGAACCCTTCTTAGATTCATCCTATTATATTGAGCCATCTTTAGACAAAGGTGGCAACTATAAATGACTAATTTGTACATAAAACCTGCTGTGCCTGAGTAACAGCAAGTACAAACCATAAAGTTTCACATTCTAATATCTGCAACTGCCCAATCAAAGGAGAAAGTACCGACTCAAAAACATCACAATGCAACATTTTATTTGGATAAAACTTTTGCTTTTAGAACTCCACTTATGTTTCCTTAGGAAAAACAGGCAAACATTTTATGAAAGAGTTTCCTTGTCGGCAGATATTGGTTTTGCAAATAGCCCAAAGATACAGAAGCAGATAATATTGAGAATATGAAGCAAAATGAGCTAAATACTAACCTCCCTATGTCTAGTATTTTCTGCATCCTCAGCATCATTCTGTTCTCTAGCAAGTTTTGTTATGTCATCAAGGAATTTCTTCTCAAGGCCTTCCAAAGTTTGTGACAAAAGATTTTGTTCATAGCCAACTTCCATATCTTCATCATGGGGTCGAGATCTGGGATCAGCATTTTGTTTTTCTAAAGATAGTTTGGGATCTGGCCTCTGGCCCTGGAAATAAGTTCTTGATCCATCAGTGCCTTGTCCTATGTCAAATTAAACAGCTCCACTAAGAACAGTGGTCCAATACAACTTTCATAAGTAAAAAAGTTATTTTCAAGCATGAAAAAAAAAAATAAGGCATCAACATGTAGAAACAAAATGAAAAAAAGTCAAGGTTATTTGTTAAGTCATAGTTAATTGTTACCATTACAATGAAGCCATCTCGCAGAAGCCCTAGTATCTAATGAAGCAAAGGCATTCAGTCCCGTGCCCAGTTTTCCACTTCTTTAAGAATATATATCTAAAGATATAGGATAAGAGTACTAGAATGACCCCAATCAATCACAGTACTCGTTCAGAAAACTAGGACTAAAAAAAAGGGTTTCAAGAAATTCTGTTATCTCCCAAACTGAAGTAGAGAACTCTCTAGCTTTATTTTCCAATATCTGTTCTCTCTCACTTAGATGCTTATTAAAAACTATATAGAAGGCTATGCTTTAGGAGGAGAACCATACAGTATAAGGAACAGAAACAAATATTAGAAGGACAGCACACTCTGAGAAGCCAGTCAATGAGTCCGAAATAGCAAATACCTACACTCCAAAAGGTCACATAACCTGGTCACAGGCTCTAAAAGCACACATTATGCATCAGGTTTCCCATTCTGTGACACTTGTACAAAATTGTCCTAGAATGTTGCAGGACAATAAAGACCCTTTTAGAAAATAGCATGCACTAAACCAGAAAGTAAATGACTGAAAGGAAAAATACAAACATTTATCTATTTAGACATGAACGTTTTAACATCTTAAGGAATAAATTACCTTTCAATTTAATAAGTATGCTCTACACCTCTTTTTCTCAAGAAGAGCATGAGGCCAATACCATAACATTTCATAATATCTATAGTTAACAGGCCATTTTGCACTCGATTACATATATCTCTACCCACCAGAAGTATGCTGCATAATTCTAAACCTATGCAAAATAAAACAACAACAAGAACAAGAGAAAGAAAAAATTGGCACCAGTTTCCAAATATAACAAGGAGTAACCTCTTAGTTTTGGAGTAAAAACAAAAGCATCAGATATTCTAGATGTATTTTAATTATTCATTGAGTTTAGAAGGCATCCTTAGCAAGATGTTCAAGCAAATAAGCCAAAAAGGTGCACATGCCATAACCCACATCCAATATTTGGTTAAACAACTGGGATGTCCTTGTTTATGAGTTACCTCAATGATGGGCTCTCCATATCTTTTATGTCTTCTTTTAACAAGATAAACAACAAACAGATAACAAGATTAACTAGCATATACAACAATAATAAAACTCCTACTCGAGACAAACACATGTACAGAGAGGAAGAGTGTCCAAAAAACAATCTTGCCTTCATTGAACACTTTCGCTGCCATTGGATTTGACACTTTTGATCCATCTCTTTCCCACC